GGGAGGGGGTGGTCAGTGGACAAGGAGGGGGGGGAGGGGGTTGTATGGGTCAGGGGTTATGAGGGGGGCAGGAAGTGGGCTGGCTGTTTGGGGAGGCACAGCCTTCCCTACCCTGGTGTGTGTATTACATTTCTCCCCGTAGGAATGTGCTACTTACAGTGCACTACTTACAGCTGCCAGTCCTGGTGCTCTGCAAGTAGCACATTCCTATGGGGAGAAATTTTACACACTAGACTGGCAGACAGAACCCCCAGACCGGCGGAGGGCTGAGTGGCTCAGCCCGCTGCTGGTCTGGGGTTCCATCTGCCGTCCCCTGCTCAGCCCACTGCTGGCCTGGGGTTCCGTTCACCCAGGCCGGCAGTGGGCTGAGTGGGGGCAGTGGCCGGGACCCCGGCTGGCAGCAGCGTGCCAGTAAAAATCTGCTCGTGTGCCGCCTTTGGCATGCGTGACGCAGGTTGCCGATCCCTGTCCTAGGCTTTTTCAGGCAAGATGAGAAGAGAGGGGAGGAAAGGACGGTTAAATGAAGTTAAGTGAGAGATGGGAGGTGACTGTTGGGGAGATTTATGCAGCAGTTTTCCGTGTGTTTGTGCAAGTCTGTTTAATGTATTTTATTAAATTCTGTGCTTTTTATCATGGGTACACAGATAGAGAGATCAAATGACTTGTCTAAATCCGCAGAGTGAGTCGGCAGACAAAGCCAGAATTAGAACCCAGAAGTTCTTCACTTGCAGGAGATTCTCGCATTGCTAGAATATACTGCTTCGCTAAATATGCTAATATGCTTTGAAAGCATAAATGCCATCTTCTCACCTGCAGTATTTAAGAGAAGAAATCCCTCTTTGAAAAAGTTAATGAGAAAGGATTGCCTATAGCATTATGCAAGCAGAAAAAGAATACAGTACCTATGGCTAGTGGCATTTGATACAATCAGAAGCCGCAGGGTACCCTGGGGAGGAATTGCATCAGCAAGATGGAATAATGGATTTCTTTATTACAAAGGATCAATAAGTACTGCACAGATTCTCCTTCCCTTACCTTTTGAAGCTGCTTCTTTACCAGCTGAGAGCCAACAGAGCAGTACAACAGAAGACAGAATAGACTGACATCAAAAAATGAATCCACAAAGTCAAATCAACTAGCTCTCTTACTGCACAACAAATCCAATTCCAACAGTGTACAGTAATGTATCACTCCCATAGAAACTTCCTATAGAATTCAGCCAATACTGTTCTACTAAAGTTACTTCAAAAACCACAGAATTTAGTGGAGAATGAGAGCCTTTCACTATATGGCATAAACACACACATCCTAGAGTTATGGAACAGGGACGTAATCTCCATTAATTTATAAAGGATGTTACAAACATTCTATAGTGAAGTTATCTACTATTATATTGCATAAGGCTTTTGCATAAAAGGTGAAGAGGCTTCCTTATTCTCAGCCTATTCCCAGCCTCAGAAGCCAAGCTCCATTATCCATGCACTGTTCAAAGTGTCTATCATTCTTGACCCATTCTTCCCACAGGGGCTCTTCCACCCTCCCCGTCCCATCAAAATGCATTGCTATACAAATCTGTTTAGTTTTCTTCCTATGAAAAGGATGACAACTTCAGTCAAACAAAACAAATAAGCAAGAAATACAACAGGCAACACGCATGATAATCGGTGTAATGTAGTGACTCTTATTCTGTGATCCAGCAGTTTGTATGACTCCGCAGTCCCCGGAAGTACACAATCCACGCTAAAGGCAGTGAAAGGAGGTGAGAAGAGCATCATTTACCCTGTCCAGCAGTCTTTATGCACACAGAATACCCATCAAATTCAATGGGAGCATTGTGCATGAGGACTGCAAGGCTGGGATCTTGTTTGCAAACTGCACATTGGATGCAGTGAAGAGGGCAGTTCCTCCCATATAGCGTTAAAAAGGTTTCATGGTTTAACACTTCTACTGTTTAATGCCTACTCCACAACCTGCCAACAGCAGCTTTGGTTGGTTGGCTTGCCCCCTAATCAAAGAGTAGTATCTGACAGTACTTTCTTCTCCCTCCTGTAAATTTACATGAACTGTGAAGACTTTATCAGATATTAATGTGTGTAATTCAGGCTACAGGGGGGAAAAAAGAAACTAGCTGACATTATGAGTTGCTTGAGAGATGAGAAAATCTGACTTGAAATTAATCTATCATCAGGCTGCCCTTCAAGTGCATTAAAACTTGTTTTCTCTACCTATTATGGGGCCCGATTTTCAGGTAATCTGGGGGTGCAGACAGGTAGACAGACACCTAATTACCATCATTTGGTGGTTATCTGTGGGTGAAAAAAACTGGAGGTTGACTACTGGAAGTAAGTGAGCTTTTTCCACTGGTGCTGGAGGATTCACGGTCACTTACAGAGCTGAGATCCTGGCAACTCATCTCCTTTCTACCCTTGAGGAAAGCAGAGGGGAAATCAGTGCTCACATACAATGGTGATGAGTAAGGATATGATTTGGTCACGGATTCCATGACTTTAACAGACCTCTGTGACCCAGCTTCAGCCCCCCAGAGCTCAGACAGCCAGCTTCTCTTCCCGCCCCACCATGGGCTTTGGTTTCAGCCTTGCACTGCAGGGCTCTGGCTTCCATGACTTGTGGTTTATTGTTTGTGTCCAGCCTGTGAATTTTAATAAAAATCCCTGCGACAAAATCTTAACCTTAGTGATGAGCATGGTATAAGAACCTACACAGAACAGAAAATCTTAATAGAGCCTGTCCTAATTACTCAGTGCTCCTTGCTCCATTTGATACCAAGGCAATAGGTACTTCACAAACATGAAAGGTAGGTTATTTGATAGCTGTATTAGGAAGAGTGGGAATTTGCTCTGCCTGACACTCGGGAAAAGGGAGTGGACGGTCAGATACACACACCTTGGGAAAGCTATCTGCGGGGCCGCGCTGGGCTGGCTTCAGCTCATGAAGAGAGGTTTGAGTGAAGAATTGCTGTACTGCTAGCACAGACAAGTATATTATGCTAAAACAGTTTAACAAATTGGTAGCCATCTAGGATGCATAACTTGGCAATTTGGAACTTCTCAGCAACAGCCAAGATACTATTCAGATCCTCCTGCTCTAAAGGGACAGTTCCCCACCACTTCAGCAAGATGACGTTCCATTAGCTGTTAGCAGTATAGTGCCTAGGGTACGTAGTTGAGCAGTTCTGATAGTCTCCAGTAGATGCCAGTGACACACACACATATGGTTTGTTTCACTAGTTCAGACATGCTTTTCTTACCACCCCCAAATTTAATTATTCTCAACATTTTCTTAATTTAAACAGTGAAAATTGAAAGTTAAAGAGCCTACGTGCAGTACCGCAAAGCACCGTAACACAATAGTATACCTTACAGACGGGAAGCACTAGTGGCATTGCCAACACAGGCTGTACTTCTGCACAAAGCATGTTTATTAGCCATGACGCAGAATAAAAGCATCTTCAAAGAGCCGGGGAAGAAGACAGCTGCTGCAGCTCCCCTAGTTACATTTCCCCAGACATCAGGAGTAATTTAGAAGTTGGATAATATTGCTGGAACTAAGCACGATCTAGATCTGCACACTAGCTCTCCTCCTCAGTTTTAAAGACCATGTATAATAGTAGAAATACAACCATTCAGCCCACTCCTGAGAGTCAGGCTGTCTCCGGTTAGATTTTTTATTGCAAATTCTCCTTTTCTTACGGAAAAGCATTGAGTTTCTTTTACCCAGTAATCAGGCAACCACCATGTCTTGTTACTGGCATAAGCCAGCAGGACTGGATATAATAATCACTCTCTCTAATCTATTAGATTAAACAAAGATAGTTTAAGATGCTTGGTACAAATTATGTTTCTTAATGCACGTTCTGGGGCACAGAGGTGAAAATCAATAACTAGAACAGAGGGAATGTTAGCTTCATATATATTCCGATTACATTCTAAATTAAACAATCACCAGCGCATTTAACCATTCAGAATACATTTGTTCAGCTACGGTCCTGCTGTTTTGGTGCTAGCCGCAGCCTAAGAAAATGCATATACAAAGTCTGACAAATTGAGACGTCACTGACAATTAATCTTAATTACACCAGGAGGAAATATTTCAGCCAATTGTAGTCCAGAAAGATCTAAAGCTCTCCTTGACAAATGGCACTGAAATCCCTGGTGTCGCAAGAGCTCACCTTTTTTTTTTTAAAGAGAATTAACGGGTGTATAAAAAATATGCACGTGCACACAATCAAGGGACCAAAAGTGAAAGCAGTCTATGGAAGGCCCTCTGCACAGTCTAAGCACAGTAGTGAAGGGAACGGGGAAAGAAGGGAATAGGTATGGGAGAATGATTGTGCAGGTAGCTTTGAACCTTGGAGTGAGGGAGTCTCCTTGTGTCTCTGCATAGGCCTACTATTACCTGGAACTACGGCACAATGGGTGAAATTCACCCCATACAGAGAACCGGCACTAGGCCTCTGTGTGACCCACAACCACTGAGCGTGGTGCTCTGTCCTGCTCTAGTGGTGGTTGAGCCATCTACAGGGGCTAATCAGCATGGATACGATTGTGTCATGGTAAAATTATGCATAATTCATGACAACAAATAGATAAATTTCAGGCTATGGTCATGACAACGAAAAATTGCGTAACAACTGAATGTTACCATAAATAAGCATTTATTGACACAAACTGTATAATGGTTCTACTAAACAAAATGTAGGGCTTGTCTGCAGGAACATTTAGTTCGTCATAAACTGGGGTGTGAATCTACCCTACAGTAGCCTGCCGCAGACCAACTGTTCCTGTGCATCAGGCTGAAGGCGATTTAGTCCTCTTTGAAATAGGAGGCGATCCAAGCACATTAACAGTTTTTATGTTGGAGCATGGTGTGACATAAGTACCAATTAAGTGCATAGACCTTGTACTGCAATACAACGTTCTTTTAATAATGTAGTATCAAAACCAGCAAAAGCAATATTCCAGTTTAGAAAGGGGACCTACCCATGTTTCTCTTGACTTGGGGCCAACAGGATTTCACGGCTACTTTCGTCAGCAGGGAGAAGCCGAGCAATATAGTTCCCGCTTTGTTGGAGATGCCTGTACACAGACACCTGCATAGTGCATTGCTCACTGTTGCTCCTCAGCCAGGGGCTCAAGATGATGGGGCTCATGTTTTCTGATGTATTGAGGAACAGGAATGAACCTAGGGGGAAAAAAAAGGGAAGAAGAGTTTAAAAAAAACAGTGCCTTTCACACCCCACGATAGTCCACACAGCATCTTACAAACTGCTTCCTCTGAAAAAAGAAAAGGAGTACTTGTGGCACCTTAGAGACTGACAAATTTATTTGAGCATAAGCTTTTGTGACCTACAGCTCACTTCATCAGATGGCATGCATCCGATGAAGTGAGCTGTAGCTCATGAAAGCTTATGCTCAAATAAATTTGTCAGTCTCTAAGGTGCCACAAGTACTTCTTTTCTTTTTGTGGATACAGACTAACACGGCTGCTACTCTGCTTCCTCTGAGAATCAGTACTGAATTGAAGCAATGATTGACCCATTGCTTGACATTTAAAATGTATGTAGAGTGGACAACACCATAGAAAATTTTGCAGGGAAAACACTACATTTGCAGGTAATTGGACTAGATTAGGATTTATCAAACATTTGAGAGTTTTCCTAATAGAGAGACTCTCTTGTGGACTTCCCCCCTTCAAATTTCTCATGCATGTGATTTAGATCCAAAGTTTGTGGCTCTGATCTTTCTAGAATAGGGTCCCAACTTGACAGGCTCGGTTATATTAGAGCTCTGTCAGTGGCCCCATTTGTATTCACACCCTAAACAAAGCTTACAGTGATTATGTTTCCTGTATAAATAGAAAGCACAAATTCATCAGCTGTGCTCTCTTATAAACCATACAGTATATTCAAAGCTATTCATGTCAGGATAAATGCTTGGTATTTTTATTGCTTCAGCCATTTATTCTGACATATTAACTTTATATGCACTTAATCCACATGAAAGGTTTGATTATTATCTGGTACATCAACTACCTTCATTTAATCCTATTTCAATAACATCTCAGACTTACCCAGGGGGACAGAGCTAAATGAACTCTCTGCAGATTAAAGCTCACCTTGAGTAAGCAAAATTACCCTCTTTTGGCAGATACCAAGTTACCAAATATTCCATAGAACAAGCACTAGTCAAATAGAAAAGGGAGCCAGTCTTTGACATAGAATATTTTCTGATTTACCATATGCACTCATTATCCTGTGAGATAACATGGAAATTCTACTTTGCACTAGAGAAGACTCGTATCTCCTGGCAGTGGTGGGGCAGAGCAAGGGCAGCAGCTTCAGCAGATGTAACTGAGCATGCTCAGTCCATGTGAGCATACTCAGTACAAGCCAAGCAGCGAATATGGGGGTGGGCACATGACCTCACATGTTCCCCCTGCATTGCCTCTGCTTTGCATTCCCATAAGGCTTTACATCACAGACATCAAAAAGCTTTCTAAAGTAGGCATTAATGTTCACAATAACTCTGCCAGTTCTGTATTCCCATTTAACAGATGGAAGAAACTGAGGCACAAAGAGGCTGAAGTCCTATCGAAAGTGCTCACTAATGTTAGGTGCTTTACTTTCTCAGATGCCCAGAGTGTGACAAGGGCATGATTTTCCAAATGCTAACCACCCATAATACAGGTAAGTACCTCTGAAAATCAGATCCTAACTATCTAAAGTTAGGCACCTAATATCAGTGAGCACTTCTGAAAATTTTCAACTGAACAACTTGCCTAAGGTGACACAGTACATCAATGGAAGAGTTGGGAATAGAACCCAGCTGTCCTGACTCCCAGTTCATTGCTCTGACAACTAGACAACACTGTCTCCAGAGGTAGATTAGCTAGCATATACTTGACATCAATTTTAGCTAGCAAATATCTGTCTTGAAAGCAGCATTGGGCAGTAAAATGTCAGAAATAGTTTCCTCATGACAGAAGATTCCATGGGCAGCAAGTAGAGAGAGAGTGAATCCGTGAATTACTGTTATTCCTTTAGTGTCAGATAGTGTTGTCTAAGGAGGTTCAAGTCTTCTCACTACCTAGACCAAATACATTTCCTAAAGTTTAAGGGAGTTTATTTGGCTGATCAGTAAAGAGATGGTAACTGTATATATCACCCTTGTGCTTCCCCATCTCTCTCTATAGTTGAGAACAACAAGAATTACAGCATTAAATCTCATAGCTTTATTTTTCCACCCCCACAAGAACACTGGGATCACAGTGACATGAAAGAGAGCAGAGATTTCTACTCATGGCAGAAAGACACTAAACCCTGCAATAATTGCTGATAACTTGCCAAATTCAGGGAGCCATTTGCTAATCTTATTGCCTTGGGATGGGGAGTAGGATTTTAAAGCTATCACAAATTAGAAGGCAATTTTGGTTCCCTCACTGCCTACTTGCAGTAGGTATGGGAAAAGTTCTTCCAAGCAAGCATCACTCTTGTGCCCAGGCTCAAGGCTAGACTTAGAATGTCAGTGAGACTCTCAAATAGGAAAAGATACTTACTGGTTGCTCTGAGGTAGATGTTAGGCAGTCACTACTCTCCTTCGTTTGGGCTGTTAACAACAGGAGTTTCTCCCCCAAAGCACTTGCTTATTGTTTCACCTATGCTCAATTCTACCTATGAACTGAAGTGTGCAGTTCTGTTGACATGAAGGTTACAGAGCCGTACCGATGGAGCAGTCCATACACAGCACTATGCGGCGACTGCACTGAATGATCCCATGCTGCACTGTTCCCAAGTGAGGGCTTGAGAGTCATGCTGGAGGACCTCCCCATCCTCCCCAAAGCAGTGCTCTTCTGACCAGTACATAAACGCACTAGGGAAAGCCTCTTAATGTGCTTTTGTGGAGGCTACCCAACAAACAGAGTACAGGAGCTGTAATGTACCATTTTTAGAGGATGTAAACATATCTTGGTTTCCGAAAGCACAATTCCCTCAAGGGAAACAACAGTGTCTGCTGCACTTACTTTAGTGCTGCTCTTACTGCTATTCTACTCCATAAACACTCAGAGAAGCACTCTCAGAATTCTGTTTGGCTGTGGTGCTTTTGGAATTTCCAGAAGGTGAGAAGTGATGGATTTGCAGTGAACACATAGCAGATTCTGGAAGCAAAACGTGTATCCCACTGTAGATTTTAAAGATCCCTGATAACAGACTATACATAAGATTTCTCCATTCGGAACAAAGCATTTGGTCCATCAGCTCCCACTTCCTGCAGTGACTAATACCCAATGTCTCAGAGGAAGACCCCATCTCTCCATAATACATCTAGCCAATTAAGTCTACCCCTTGCTAAGGTTATGTCTACACTAGAAACACAACTGTAGCGTAGACACTTACTACTACAATGAAAGAGGTTCTTCCATCACTTTAGTAAATCCAGCTCTGAGAGACAGTAGCTAGGCCAACTGAAGAATTCTTCCATAGAGCTAGCAGAGTCTACACTGGGGCTTAGGTCAACTTAATTACACCACACAGGGAGTGAAATTTTTCAAAGCCCTAAGCAATGCAGTCAAGCCAACCTAACTTTGTAGCATATACCAGCCCTTAGACTTCACAATTTTATTAATATTATGCAGATCCTTTTCAAAGCCACATTAACACACATGAAGGATAGGTCCAAAAGTTCAGACCAGTACGATTCCAGGTAAATTCAGTAAATCAGTAGGAATGTGTCTAAAATCCTTCTTAGGTTACGGATTATAACTTTTCTGAGGAGCCATTATATAGCAGTGATGTTTTCCTATTAATTGGGAATGAGAGGGAAATATACTGTTTTCCACCTGGTGGGTTCCCAGGCAAAACTGGGTTCTAATCTGTTTATCAGTTTTCCAGTAAGAGGAAGTCCATGTGGCAAGCTGTATCTCAGATCATCGTGTAGGTCTTTAGGGTTGTAAGATTTCATCAGTAATTTTCTTGGACTGCTATTTTCCTTTATCAGCTTACAGCTCTAATGAGGCTCTCGGGGATCTTGCAGGGGGAATTACTAAGAAAGAGCACTGCAGCTTCAAACAAACTTCTACTGACAGTTGGGCACCTAGGGAATATAAACTGAGATGAAAGGCCCCTTCATAGAACAAGTTGTCAGTATCATGGTCTACCACTTGTAGGATTTTAAAAAATTAATAAAGCATGGTATATTGCAGTAACCCATATTTAATACTCAGGGGGTGATGTGAAGAGTTTGCAACTGGTGAAGATGATTAAAACACTAATGCTTCAGAATCTTAGGATACGGTATACTCACTAGTGAAACATTGCAGAAGCATGCATAACTAGTCACCACTTAAACTAGAGTTGACACTAGTTATCATGCCAGCTGAGTGCTGGGATTGAATAGATGTAATCCCCTAAAGAAATATAGCAAATACAGTGTCTCAAATCCAGGGCCACTTAGCTCTGCATGACTCTCACCATGCTGCTCAGTCACTAGGATCACTCAGAACTACCTGGGGGCAGTGGGGACAGAAAGTCTCCTGCACCAAAAGAATGAGCCACAACCACTCGAGCTAACCGAAAATCTCCTCTAGCTGTTGCAATTTAAGGATTTTGACACTTGGTTGAGCCATTCTAATTCTATCCAGCAGAGGGCAGTAGTAGACATATCTCTCACACACTTTCACTACAATACTTTATTATTTAATTGTGCCTTTCATCCAGACAAATTCCAAAGTGCTTCACAGCCTATATCCTACAATCACACACCCACTGCTGAAACAGTGCAATTTTTGAGTTAGAATGATTATATGCTAGTAACATTACTCAGCCGGTTTTCTTTCTTTTGTTTTAAATAGTGAGGGGTCTGCATTGTAATACCAGCTCCTAAACTTCCCCATCTCCAGCATGTCCCTCCCCCTGAGACACATTATGGGAAAGTCCTAAATATCAATTTGCTCAGGCTTCTGATTTGTATCTGCACTATTTCTCCATCTTTCTAATATTTGCAGTCAACCCATAATGGGTTTCTCCATCTTTGTTGGTTATTTCCTTTTACAGTGTCTGTATTAATTGTCTGTCACTCCACACCTTGCAAGAAAAAGATATTTAAGAATAAGCACAAGAGAATTATTGCAACTGACATTAAAGTGTATTTATAGCACCCTAATGATTGCAACATTCAATAGAGGAA